TGCTCGACAATGTCACAACATTATTTTCACAAACACATAAACATTAATGATTGAGGTGGTGCGTTGACAGTGGTGATGAAAACGATTGAAAAAAAGAAGAAGAAGAAGAAGAAAAGAAAAAGAATTGAAGAATGAATAAACAAAACGGAATTCTTAACTAACTAACTAATACACAAGAAAAGAGAGAAGAAAAGAAAATGAGTAAAATCAAGATTTATTGACATGAAAAATATAAAAGAAATAATGATTATTTATTTAAGAAATGTATTTTTATATTAAAATATTTTCAAGCTTCTCATTTCATATAAACAAATAAATAAATAAATAAAGTAAAATTTACCATTTATTAAATTTGTTGTGTATGAATGTTTTTTACACCAAGTTCGCCAAATAAGTTCATTTTTTGATGTCATCGTATTGTGATTAGAAGATTAATATTTGGAAGAATTAATATAAAAACAAGTTGATGTTAATAAATAAATAAATAGATATATCTTATCTTATAATTTCGTTGTTTCTTATTTGTCACTATATGATAGTAGTATAGTTTAACTAAGTATAAAAACATGTGGATTGTCTCATTGTTTGAATATATGAATGTGAAAGTCACTCGATATCATTACAAATTAATTTTTTTAAAATTAAAATTTCTTGTATTACATAATTTAATTAATGCCTCTTATGTGTTTAACTTTATGATTTGTAATCTAAAACCACGCGTGGATATTTGAGATGTTTTAAAAACTTTTTTCAAGTCAAAAACAAATAAGTGCGTGAAATTGTATCTGTAACCCTTGAGAGTGTTGAAGTAGGAAATATTACTTTCATGTTCTTTTTGAAAAGAAAATCATGTGTTCATAGCTTTTGTGTAAACATCGTTTATTGATTCAAAACAGTTCTAATAACTAATGGTTTACTGTTCTTCAATAATTTTATTTTTGTTTCACAATAATCACATTTTTCAATTCGTCTATTATACACATCAAACTAACCTTCGCTCTCCTCTCACATTGTCTTATCTATTTTTAAATTTGTGGCTTCTGTTAGACTAGTCTACGGTTAAAGGACAAAAAGTTATCTTTATTTTGCACTTTTAATAAAAATACATCATAAATATCTCTGTCTAAATTTATTTAGTGACAGAATTTTGTTGTCAAAGAAAAAGACAGTTTTTATTTTGTCTTCATATCAGAAAATAGATAAATCTATTAATATATAGTCTCATATGGAGAAGAAAAATTTATTCACACATGATATTGCCTACACGAAAGTTTGATGCATTATATTGGACTTCATAGCATCAAAGAATTTAATTCTCAATTTTGGTTAATCTATCTGATTCAATAGTCAGATATGAATATAGTATGGAATAAAGAAAATAAACCATTAGAGAAAACGATTCTAATGATGAATATAAACATTTCCTTTAAAAATTAATTTTTGAGATTCAATGAATGTGATTATTGTTTCAAAAGTATTTGGAATCTTTTGTTGAATATGTAATGAATGATATAAGATGTAATTATCATCACAATATCATTGACCATTATTTCTATTTGAAGTAAGTATAGCATCTTTTAATAGACAAAACAGAAACGGATTCAATTTTATAAAAAAAAAAAGCAGACATATGTCAACAATGAAGTCTTTATAACGTTTTTTTTTCTTCTTTGTATGCTCATCTCTTTGTTAAATATGAATGAACGAAAAGAAGCTATTTGTTCTGTTGTAAAAGACGAAGGCAGTTCAGTTTTATTGATTTGATTAAAAGAAAACATAATGTATGGTACAATGTTATTCATTTTTATATTTTCATTATTAGTAATTAATGTTAATTCATATGGTTGTCGTTGTTCATGTTGTGCAGGTTCTGGTTGTTCATTACTATATTTAGGTACATTATCTGTGCCAACATGTGCTAGTACAACATGTGTGGATGCATGTAAAGCATCTTATACAACATGTTTGGTTGGATTATCAAATGCTGTTTGTGCTGCTACAAATATTTTTAAATTTTATACCATCTCATTATTAATTATTTCTACATTTACATTTATTTTAATTATTAACAAGTGCTCTTAATTAATACTTTATATTGGTAATTAATTATAGAAGTTCATTATAATTCGATACAAAAAACATTGTCTTGTTTTGTTAAACGATTCATTTTCTACCTAATCGTATAAATCTGAATTAATTATGTCTTTTTCTTTCTGAGTTTCAATATAATAATAAAGAATGTTTATTTAAAAGATAAACTAATTAACTAGTTTTTTTGTGTATAATTTTTCTATAAAATGGATTTCTCTAAACTCAAAAACGGAAAGATGTATTCTTCTATTTGTCTTTTCAACAATTGACAAACAATGAAGACATATTATTTGTTCAAATTGATTGAAAAATTATGTCATACCTCAAATAAATGCAATCACCTAAGCTTATTAAAGAACATTTGTTGTTTCATAGAGTTAGAACAATAAAAAAATAAAGATAAGTTTTGACAACTATATATATAGAGAGAGAGATTTCATAAAAAAACAAATCATTTACCTGAAGTATTTTAAATAGAAAGTTTCAACAGTTTGAAATCATCACAACATAGGTATTTCATCACTAATAGATGCTGAATTAAAATATTGATAGCCTTGTTTCAATTTAAATATGCGTCATGAAACCGGCTATGCTTATAAAATATATTAAAACTAGATATTTTAATCATAACATATAACAAAGAGAATCTGTATATAATTTTTGATCTATTCATTTGAAGAAAATCAATTAACTTTATTTCAACTCATGAATGATTTCAACATTGAAGATATTTTCTTTGTAATAGAAAGCAAATATATTCTATGCATATTTCATTAAGAATGCTAGTGTATCATATCTATCCTATCAATACTCTTACGCAAACGCTCACTCACACTCTCACGATGGTTCTTATTGCAACAACTGCAAGAACAACAAAAATACTTCACGTTTTTTCTTATTTCTCCATTTTTGTAATGTTTATTTTTTTTTCTTACATAAAAAGGATGTGGGCAGGGTTCGGTATTGACTTTGATTTCATGACACATACACATTCATAGCCACCCTTCTTATCGAAGAATTTTATCGTTCTTGGTAGAATGATTTTTTTTCCTTCTTTTCGACGGATTTTTTTCGTTCGACTACGGATTTTTTTCGTTTGACTATGGATTTTTTTCGTTTAACTACGGATTTTTTCCTTCTTCATATAGAAAAAAAACGTGTATAAATACTGAGACAAATCAAACTAATACAAGTGTGATTAAGTATCGATCGACGGCTCATGATGGTTCATACAACAGTAGTTGAGTACTTAGACTCCGATGGAAACATACGCAAACAGATAAATAGCACATTCGATGCTAATACTCCGTTCAATGATATTATTCAGTGGATTTTAACGTGGATACGGGCTGGCTTTGCTTTTGATTTGCAAATCATGGATCCACATATCAAGGACTTAGTCGATTTTGATCAAGAATATCTGAATAGGCAAAAACCATATAACAAACAGTCGATAATTGTACTGAAAATTCTTTGGACCACTAGTAAAACTTACCACTTATGAGTCCTTTTTTTTTAATATTATTTATTTCGAAGGCGGTCAATTTTGGAAGCCAACATGTGATGCATCTACTTCAGTCATCGTTCCACAGCGCCAAGAACGTAAGATAGTAGACAAAACAGATAACAGAACATCATTTTTTGTTCTACGGACATATTTATTTGTAGAAAAGCTTCATGCTTCACATCCTATCACAATCAATGATACCAATGCAAGTATTGAATTCGTAAGAAACGTGGAGGAAAAACAACGCGATCAAGATATCAATAAAAAATCACGTATCAGGGGTGCTATTCATGATCTTGAGGGTGTGAAAAATCGTTGTAATAGGACGTCACCCACAGTCAAGGTAAAAATCTATACTATATACTGCATCGAAAACATAATTGTATTTTTTTAGATCATAACTAAGCATATCAACGAGACGAATCGGTCGAATTTCATGCTAATCATCTTTCTCGTATGGGAAATGCGTGAAGAAGGAATTCGAACATTGTATTATCACCCGTATCGAAAACTGTTCAAAGACTCAAAACGTCAAGATCATATCATATTTCCTCTCACCGTCAAGATGTTTAACGAAGGAGATGAGTAGGCAGAATCTACATCGTTTTTTTATTACTATTTATCTTCTCTACTTTCAGTCTCAATTTGCATACAAAAGGAATTCGTGGTTCAAGGACGGGTGGTAAAGATAAAACTAAAATTTTGTTTTGCCGGTTAAACAACAGATTATCTGAAAATGCAGAGTATGAAACAAGTCGTTTAGCATGTTTACTTATGAAAAATGGAAATCCATTATGGGATACACTTAAACTTTCAAAAGCTATGATTTTTACAAGTAAATATATATTTGAATTTTTATTTACTCGTCTTATGCGCCTTCTTTCAGAGTCTTACTATCCGATCAAATACAAAGATGTACTAGACAATAATAATCAAGTTGTTGAGAGAATATGGTTCCGAATATTCAGACGAAAGAAAAATTTGAATCAACCTAGTAAAATTATCTTTCTGTTTTGTTGTATTATTAAGATTAGAGTTTGCCTATCTTTCTTTTAAGATCGGATAGTGAAATCCGTTCCTCGAGTAAAAAAATCAAAACTACCTAAAAAACGAACGAAAGTAGGCTTGCCTTCCAATGAACTTTCAGTTTACAAAAATTATTCCTCGTTGGCTCATAACGTGAATACTGAAACTCTGCCAAATGGTCCAATAGCATTTTCAATCTCGACGATAACTAATTTGCTGAATCATCCTGTAAGTCTTTCTTAACGTGATTATCAATATTAATTATAGTGTATGATAATTTAGGATACTGGTAATGGCTATCAAGATACAGCTCATAGCTTTCCACAATTCAGATCGGTCATTCAAAATTATGTAGATCAACGTAAAAAAACTATTAGAAAAAAAAGGATCTTATGTTAAACTGTTTGTGTTTAGAAGAAGCCAGTGAAGTTAGCCAACCGCAAGAAATACCGACAAGAACAAGTCAAGCGACAGTCGATGCTGCAATATCTGAAATACTATCTCAATGTTTGCCGATCTGCTGGGTTCGTACAAAAATTTTTAAAAAATACTAAAATCATTATTTACCTTAAGAAATGCAGCCAGTATGTTTTTTTTTATTTTCAATTTATAGATAGATTAAGCCACCATGAGAATATATCATAGATTCGCTTGTTATAAATCTGAAGACATATCTTAGCGATAATAAATAGGTGAAGAGAAGGGAAATCAGTCCTATGTAATACTATTCAGACACATTTGTCATTTAATTTTCATCTGTAATGATTACGCAATTTCTCTAGTTTTTGTTGGTTGAGAATAAAAAATATCCATTCTTTAGCGATGAATATTAGTAACATCGACTAATGATTGTTTTGTTTCAATTGTAGGGTACAAACAATACAGGTCAATTTGATTTCATCAATAATGAATTATTATCACCACAGGCTTTAGATAATTTTTTATTTGACGGATTCCAGTCTCCTTTGTGCACAGATTTAACATCAAAGGTTTGTTTCGAATCTATATACCGTACAGATGAGAGTATAGATCTGATTTATTTTAGGAACAATCAAAATTAAGTTTGGAAAATATCTTCGATGATGTTTTTATGATTAATTAATTAATTCAATATTAATTAACTAAATTGTTCATATAATACAAAATCTAATGAACTTTTCTTTTGAAAGTATTTTATATTATTCTTTATCTCTTCTTATATATATATTGTGATCATTTGTTAAAAGCTTTTTCAGTAGATTTTATTTTCATATGTAATTTTATCTCATCGGTTTAACAGAATATTTTCCAAATAAAAATGATCAAATCTAACAATGTGAATGTATTTTTTTTCTTAATATTTGCCCATTTACATATTTGAAATAAAAGTTATATTATATTCTGCTGTTCATTTAAATTCGTTCGAATATTCATATGAAAATATCTTATTTTACACGAAGTATTAGATAAAGAGGAGATGAACTCTATTTTGTCAAATATAAAAGTATAGTGAGACATTTTTCGATTAGATAAATAAAACTTCATAAACAACATATATCACATTGATTCTTTTCTTATCTAGGGTTTACGCCTATCTATATATACGCGTACACATATATCATCTTTCGCTGTTCTTGTTATACGTTCGTTCTTCGTTCTCTTCTCTTTGGTCTTGTTAGTGTTGTTAACTAAACGAACTCACACGTATACATCCACGTATATTACAATATCCTGAGAATTTCAGTCCTATAGAGTGAGAATTGATAGAGAAAACTACTGATATATCTCAGATACTCATAGACTATTGAAACTAATTTTTTGTATTTTATTGATTTCTCAATTGTTTTTCTATCTCATTTAAGATTTTATCGTAATTTTCTAGTCTCAATAGTTGCATTTTTCATCATCACGTGAAATACTTTATAAAATTTGAAGCGAATTAATTTATTTTCTAAGTGTCAATGTAAAACAAACTAAATGTAATCATTTCATACTGGTCGATTAAAAATGCTGTGTAGCGACATTCATAATTCAATATTTGTCATATTATTATTTATATGAAAATAGAATTAAATTTACATCTTTTTACAAAAAATCAATAACATAAAATTGTTTGAAATATTTCATTAATTTTGTCGAACGAGATGATTTTGATTTCTAACAATCACTGTAATTTTAGTTGTTGATTGACAAAAATAATTTTTAATAATCTTTCTAACTTCTCTGTCAAGTAAAATTGTCATTAATTTTTCAATTGTAACAAATAATGGTAACAATACAATTCCCATTGAATAGAATATTTCAATTTTTGTTGTTATATAAATAAATGTTGCAATTCCTCCACTTGTATAAATTCCAATAAGTATTAAAATATTTCGAAGAATTTCAAGATTTCGATTTTGTTGTATTTTTCTTATTGTTTTTATATTCATATTCTTTTCTAAATATTTGACTCGATAATAAATATTTATATAAATTATAACAATCAATGTGATCGGAATCACATAATAAACAAGAAGTGTGTAAGTCATATGTAAAATTTTTTCTTTTGGTACCCAACAGAGAAATGTTGGACGATAATATATATCTTTTGTTAATATTGCTGGCAACGGAATTAAGATTACAACCATCCATTGTATCAATATCATTATACATTGAGTTTTAAATGAAAGTATCCATCGTTGATTTCTATGAAATATGGAGTAGAATAATCGTGATAAAGCTTGAATAAAGTATGAATAAATAACTGCTGCTATAGACAGATAACCAAAATAAGCACGAAATCGACATGATAAATCACTTGTATCTTGTGTAATAAATATCAAATATATATAATTATTACTTTGAACTACACTATAAAATATCGATGTAAAACACGTATTACAAATTAAAATATGCGCCATTGTATGTAATCGTTTGTTTAAAAAGATGACCATTAATATTCCACAAGAAATAATTATTGAAATCAATGCACAAAATATTGAAATTGGTATGATGATTTTATAATTTGCAGAACTCTGAATTTCATGTATCTCACTTGAATTCATTGCAGTAATAATTAAGTCTAAAAAGTCTCTATATTCTCATTATGTTTGACATGTAAATAACGATAAATATATAACATGAATAATTATCAAAAGATTAAAATCTATAATCTTCTTATTATATTTTTTTGTCATTTCATAGCCACTTAAACACGGTAATATTTTTGACTGTTCAATTATCAGTCCCTAATTCAATTCGTCAGATACAAACTCCTAAGTTTTTAAAATTGAGGACTTTTTAAAGATAAATTGTTGAACATGTATCACTTAGATTAGACGAGAAGATTCAAAGAGACAATCTTAAGCATACAGATGTGCTTGAAGAAAAAAAAGTTTAAAATAAAATCTTCTTCATTTCGTCATTTAATTATGAGAGCATTCTCTATAACTGGGTTGTTTTCTTAGTCAAATTTTTAAATAATTATTTTTCGGTATCTTCTCCAGAGCAGTTCAGAAATAGTGATAGTGACATTCTAATGTCGTATAATAAGATTAAACAAGGTTTATTTCTATAAATACATCTTTATTCCCTCGACTGGAAGGAGGGTGATACGGAAAAAACGAAAATGCGTTTGTCTGTCTGTCCAGGTCAAAGGTCAAAGGTCAGAGGTCAAAGGTCAAAAAAACATTGAAAACTAATTTTTCGAAAAAGAC